GCCTACCTCAAATATTTAGAAAATGCTCACAGAGGAGGACAATGGAAAATGTAGGTCAGATCCAGGTAAAAAATACCATGAGCAAAAAGGCCTGGGGAAAAGGATACACACATCTGGTTTCCAAGATGTTTCCAAGGATACAAAACTAGCAGAACATAACTTTCTTTCCATTTTGGCTGCCTCACTCATGGGAACCAAACTGCTCAAAGAGAAATTAATTTAATGAGCATTTTGAGACTTCTACCTCTGAGGCCTTTGAAAAAGTAAACAAGCTCCTGATTCCTCTTCCCTGCAACTCTACTGTCACAGGAAGGAGGGAGGTCAACTGGAACCTTCCAGAGGACTTATGCCTCATGCCACCTCCATCACCAAAGGAAGAAATGACCCAGGGAACTCAAGGTTCTGCAACACCATTAGAGCACCTTGTGTGAGAAACAGGTGTGGAGACAGGCAGCGCTCTCACAGGAGGAACTTGTCTGGCAAAAATGGTGATAATGTGTTCATGAGAGTCCATCCACTCAAAGCACTTTATGCAACCTATTCTTGTATCTCTCCCAATTTCTCTTCCCCTCAGCTTCCTCTCATCTTGCTTCCACTCTCTTCTGGAACACAATTCTGAGGATCTCTTACCTTCCCAATAAAAATGGACTTTCTCTTAGCCTGCAGCATCTCTCAAAAGTTTATACCCAATCATCTCAGTCATTTTCTGTAGTCATCACAAGTACTTCCATTTTTCCTATCAGGGATGCTCTTGTATTCTTTTATCTGCAATATCTTACTCATTCATTCATTCACTTATAAAACATTTTCTGAGGTTCCATGTAGTAAAAGCTTGCCAGCCCATTTCATATATCTTCTGACATTACCTTACTGAAAGTTTCTGTGTCTCTGTTTTCACATTTGTATAATGGGGATATTAGTGTTATCCGGTCCATAGAATTAATGTTAAGATGACATTGGAGGAGATCACGTGTGTGATGTATTTTAATAGCCTCTAATAGCTAGTGGACACCTATTCATTTTATTTATTATCACTGCATTGCTATAAACACATTTTTATTTGTTAAACCAAAAAAAAGTGATAATGACAATATAAGCTAAGATATAAAGCATAGCACAAGTGCTTGTCATACAAAGTTCCAACATAAATTTTACTTATTATTACTCTCATTTGTTGACTGCTTACAAGTTTCCAGCCCCTGTTCCTGGAGTTTTATATTTTTATTAATATTTGAGATGATCAAGGTCTATTTTCTAAGAACTTCAACTGTACATAGGAATGTTATCCTTTTTCACGTGTGCCTACATTTTGTTCATTATATTTTTGCTTAATTTATGCTTATAGAAAAGTTACAAAGTGAGGACAGAGCTCCCATAGTGATGAAAATGTTTGGAACTAGAGAGATGCAATTGTTGCAAAACGTTCTGAATGTACTACATGCCACTGAATGCCACATTAGAATGGCTACTTTTTTTCTGTATTTGTTTTGGATCAACAACTTACTAAAATGCTCAGACACAGTAGGTTTCCGGCCACCAATTCACTACCTGCAGCCATCATCTGAACACAGTGATATGTTGCCTCTTCAACACTTAGCTTTCATTTGTTTTTCTCTTTGTATTTCATTGATTAGAACTTCCAGGGCACTAATAAACAATTATTGATCATAAACTTACTTTTCTTCTTTAATACTTAAAGGGGAATTCTGCTATTGCTCCTGGCACAGGGGTCTAAAGTGCATTTCTGGAGGTAAGTTTTGCTGTTAGTTTAATTTTTTCCTTGTTGATTGATGTGTTATCCTCCATCCTGAATGAACTTTGCACACACATTTTCTAAGAAATAAGTTTGGTTTTCATGATATTAATGCCTTGAGCATGAAGGTGTAAGTAATATCATCTACGGAACCTGAGCGCTTATCTCTGTGTCCACTTTCGTCATTCTTATATCTCGGTATTTCTGTTCTTTCTCTCTTTTGTTATCCCTTCCCTTACACTTCTGTCTTTTTTGATCTATTCATTAGTTAATGCTAAAAATTAGCTCTGAAATTGATTTTTCAGTTCTAGAGTCTTTCTTTTTTTTAGTGCATTTATCTTTTTTCTTCATCTGCTTTTATCTTTGCCTGCTAAGTTCTACTTTAACAAGGTTTCTTTTCTAAAATGTTATTGTCGATGCTTTCAAATTTTGAAATTTTTATTTCTTGAGAACAGACTACATAGTTATTCACTTGAAATTATTGAAAAATATACCAGAAAATGAATCTAAAAATCAACGTTTATATTACCACTCAAGGATGAACACTGTTCAGATTCTGGTGTATCTTGTTGAAGATAATTATTCCTGTGCAAATATGTGTGTAATTAGAAAAGATCTATATGCTAACTTATTTTCTCCAGCCCACAGAAGGAGACCAAGGACCTTTTAATAGGAGAATCTGAAATGTTATTTCTCTTTCCTCATGGTAGAATTTTGCATTTTTAAACTAAAAGAAAAAATGAGATAATAATTCCCTCATTGAAAAAGGGTATCTTCATTTTAATTTTTATTTCTTTGATTAATACTAAGAATGGAAAATTTTTTAAACACTTTTTCCATTTCTTCATAGGGATCTTTGATATTTTTATGCGTTTTTCCCAGCAATGCATTAATCTCTCTATGATTTATTCTTAAGATTTTAGAGATTAAAGTTATTAACCATTATCACATAACTAGATTATTGTTACATTCTAATTTACTGCATGAAACTTTTTTAACTCAAAAGTTTAGTTTATGGTTCCATTATTTATCTATTCTGTTATTTCCATCAAAGACTTTTAATTTCAAAGAAAAACTTTTAATTTCAAAGGTTATATATATATCAATGCATAAATTTATATCTACATATTTATTTAAATTTCCTTTAGACATCTTATGTAGTCCCTTCTTCTATACTTAATGTTATAATTTATTTTTAGGTATGGAGGTAAGATTTAACATTATTTTTTCTATATAGTCATTGAACATTTATTCATACCATCTTTAAATTCCTCCAATGTGTCCAGAAATAAATAATACAAATTAACATAATAAAAAATTATATATTTTAGTCATGATGAGCATAATATTAAATTACAAAACTGTAGGGTTATTCCCTTGAGGGGGGAAAAAGAAAAATAAGAATTCCAGCTCATTATAAATTGGAACGGGGTTTTGAAATTTCAGCCCAATGCAGTAAGACATAGAAGATAAATAAATGTTATTAATTAATATTATACTGCCAAAGTAGATGAATACTAAATTGTGAAATTAATAAGACACACCAGAAAAGTAACAGTTCACCTCATCAATAGATAAAAAACAAAAGCTTTCCTTATATAATAGCAATAACAGAGAAAAAGTGGGGAGATATCATTTGGAAAAACATTAAACCTAAAATACACTAAGTTCTGTTAACAAGAAATGAGTATAATAGACATTTCTAAGAAACTGCAGAAATGTTTACTCATATAGGATTGAAATATCTTCAGAGAAATTCCTGCTACTTGACTAGGAATCTGAACATAATAAAGATGTCCAGTTTTTTCCAAATTAGTTTATAATTTTAATAGAATCTCCAGTAATATTATAATGCTATCTTTCTTGTAACAAGTATACATGATTCTATAGTTCCCTGGGAGAATAAAGGGAAAAAGGAATAATTTTATGAAAGGCAAAATTAATATTAGATGAATTTCTCCACTCAACTTTTAAGCATATTATGAAAATAGATAAATATATAAAACAAAAACTTTGACAGCCTACTTAACAATTATGACACAGATGATGAATTACAAGAATATGAATAAGGAAATATTTTAACTTTTAACAACTGAGAAAGGTCATTTATAGATTATCCTAAAAGAAAAAATATAAAATTAAAATTAATCCTAACATTTTTTATTAAAAATCTTAGAAAGAAAGTAAATGTCTAGAAATGTGCAACTTTTAAATAGCCATTTCCATTGGGTGGAATATTTTGATCCGATGAGAATCAGATGATGAAAAATGTACATAACATTCACTGCTACATGTAAAACTCTAGGATACTACACCATCAAATTTCATGTTTTTTTGAAGGTATATAAAGAATTGGTAATAAAATTGAAATGGAAACAGTGATTCATAATAACAGTGGTTATTAATCATTTTTAGCAGAAGAAGCACCCAAGGTCCAGAGTATTTAACAAGTACACATCACAGAGAGGCAGCACAATGACAAAAAGAGCCTTCCACTGATTGAAAATCTGCCTAGATGTAGGAAATTTTCCTTCCACCATGGATTCAGCGTAATAACTTCGTATAGCATACATTATACGAAGTTATACGATCGTAATAAAATTGAAATGGAAACAGTGATTCATAATAACAGTGGTTATTAATCATTTTTAGCAGAAGAAGCACCCAAGGTCCAGAGTATTTAACAAGTACACATCACAGAGAGGCAGCACAATGACAAAAAGAGCCTTCCACTGATTGAAAATCTGCCTAGATTTAGGAAATCTTCCTTCCACCATGGATTAAGCAGAAAGGGCAAGAGCAGCCCCCAGGGATGCTGGGGAAGGGAGCGCTGCTTAGGAATGTGGGAACTGCAATGGTGGTGTTCAAACTGTGCGTGCATCAGAATTCCCGAGAGGGCTTGTTAAATCACAAAGTCCCAGCTGTACACACCAGGGCCTTACGACACACATTTCTAACAACTTCCCAGGTGATGTGATGTTACTGTTCCAGGGACTAAAATTTGAGACCACTGACCTAGAGACAATCTTTCCAACAATTTGAGACCACTGTCCTAGAGACAATCTTAACAGGTAGTGATAGTAGCCACAACTTGTCCACAATAGAATCCAATGGTTAGCCAAAACGAATGACTTCTTGAGTCACCCGGGTTTAAATAAAGGCTATTGCTCTCATTCTAGAGAATGTTTATTTAGAATGAACTTTGTCTTGCCTTTTCCCCCTTCCTCTGAGCAAACACAGCAGCCCCATGGAAGAAGGAAACCAAACAGGAGAGAAGAACTTTCTCCTCCTGGGATTCACGGGGAACTCTGACCAGCAGTCCCTCTTCTTTGTGCTGTTCCTCTCCATGTACCTGGTCACAGTGCTTGGGAACCTGCTCATCATCCTGGCCAGCATCTCAGACTCCCACCTCCACACCCCCATGTATTTCTTCCTCTCCAACCTGTCCTTTGTAGACATCTGTTTCACCTCCACAACCATCCCAAAGATGCTGGTGAATATGCTGATGCAGAGCAAAGATATCAGCTTTGCAGGCTGCCTCAGCCAGATATTTTTTTTCATTGTATTTGGATGCCTGGACAGTTTTCTCCTGACAGTGATGGCCTACGACCGGTTTGTGGCCATCTGTCACCCTCTGCACTACATGGTCATCATGAACCCCCGGCTCTGTGCATGTTTGATTCTGGGGTCCTGGATCATGAGTGTCTTGGGCTCCCTGCTGGAGACCTTGACTGCTTTGAGGTTGTCCTTCTGCACAAGCATGGAAATTGCAAACTTTTTTTGTGATCTTCCCGAAGTGCTGAAGCTCGCCTGTTGTGAAACTCTCATCAATAACATAGTGGTTTATTTTGTTACCATTGTCCTAGGTGTTTTCCCTCTGTCTGGGATCCTCTTCTCTTACTCTCAGATTTTCCTCTCCATCCTGAGAATTTCATCATCCAATGGCAAGTGCAAAGCCTTCTCCACCTGTGGGTCTCACCTTTCGGTGGTCTCCTTGTTCTATGGCACAGGTCTTGGGGTCTACCTCAGTTCTGCAGCCTCACTGTCCTCTAGTGCAAGTCTGATGTCCTCGGTGATGTACACCATGGTCACCCCCATGCTGAACCCCTTCATCTACAGTCTGAGGAACAGGGACATGAAAGGGGCTCTGAGGAGACTCCTCAGCAAAGCTCTTAATGAAGGGCCATTGCAGGACTCTCGTGAATAACATTATGCACAATACCGAGGACCTGAAAGCCTGGCCTCCTCCTTCCAATATTTTGAATAATTTGCAAAGCAATTTTTTCGTGGCCTTTTCCTTTGGGTTATTACCTACTTTAGCTATTGTTTATAATGTTATATATTGGATCACACTTTTCACTTTCTAACCAGTACTTTAAAGTTTTTATAAATAAAACCTGCCATTTTCTCTATTATCTTCAGTAATAATTTTTTTTTGTTTGTTAATAAATCAAATCATACATGTTTAAAATAAATCCTAAGAAATGACAGGATGTGTAACTTTCTTGGAAATGTTTCCCTGGAAACTCACTTACAAAGATGTTTTCTGATGTAATGTGAATAAAATTAACTCAAAGATTTCCTTTCTTTTCATTCAATCCACTTTTATTTCAGACACAGTGACTTTACTGATTTGTTTTTTACTTTTGGATATTGAAATTTCAGAACTTTATCTCATATATCTTTGCACCCATGATGCCTAGTACAGTTTTGGTCAGGAGTATATGTTCAGTGAATATTTCTCAAGTACAGTGAAAAATAGACAGATGGTTGGTTAAATATGACTCTGGATGATAAAAAATGCTGATTAGATCATTATAAAATGCATGCATGTATTGTAACAACAATCTGTTGCCAAAAAAAATGTATAATAAAAACATAAATTCAAAATTTTCAAAAATGTCACAGCTGGGAAAAAATTCCAAAAATATTGATATTAATAATAACAACACTCAGTATATGCCAGTACTGTTTAAGTATTTTGTAGAAATTTGTGTTCACTATATATTACCCATCTCAGGTCTTGTTTGTTTGTTTTTTAATTCATATTATTTTTTATTTTTCATTATACATTGCAGTTGATTTTAATGGCCCTTTACCAATTCCATCCTTTCCTCCCTCTCTCTCCCCCTTTTCCCAACCCCATCAACATCATATCTGTTCTCTTCACTTAACAAGTTCAAGTAATTTCTGTGATTGTTCTTTTTTCTACTTATTTGTTTGTTTATTTATTTATAGTAGCACAACCTGACTAATATGGTGACTATAGTTAACAACAACATAATGAATTTTTCTTTCAAAAATTTTTAATTCACACATTGTAATTATACATATTTATGTGGTACAATTTTGATCCAGATAGATGTTGTATAATAACTGGGTCTGGGTAATTAGTATCCACAACCAACTGAATGGGCTCAGACATCCAGGCACCTGCACAATCACAGACACAGAGGCAGCTGCTGGCATCCACCAGAACTACTAAGTCTACCCAGAATTACTGAGTCTACCCTGCAAAACTGAGTCTATCCAAAACTGCTGATACTATTCAGCCTACCTGGAACCAAAATTAAAACACCCCACTGAACAAGAAATGTGTAACAAATCTGTAGGATGAAGTCTTTCTCCCCCAAAATGACCCCGGAATAATAGAAGAAACAACAGTTCCACTGGATGACTAGACATTAACATAAGTATAATAGAAATATGAATAAATAAGAAAATATGGCACCACCAAAAGAATACTGTAACTCTCAAATATCAGGCCTAATACAAGAGAAAACACTTGAAATGTCTAAAAAGAAAATCCAACCAAAAATCATTAAGAAACTTAGTGAGACCAAGGAACACTCAGTTAGATGATACAATGAAATGAGAAAAACAATCCAGGACATCATGGAGGAGATTTACAATGGAATAAATAACATTAAAAAGAACATAACAGAACTTCTGAAACTGAAAGACTCATTTAGTGAAATAGAAACCAACTGAGAGTGTAAGCAGCAGTCTAGAGCAAGAAGAAGAAAGAATTTCTGATCTGGAACTCAGTTTTTTTGAAGTAAATCAAGGGGGGAAAAAGAAAGAAAAAGGAAAAAGAATTTGAAATAATGAAGAATTTCTAAAACCCCTAGCAGACAAACTAAAGCACAGAAACAGCTGAACCACAGTTGTTTCAGAAGAAAAGGAGAAAGTAAAATGTACTGAAATACATTCATTGAAACAATAGTGAAAAACTTCCCTGGTGTTTGTAGAGATACAAACTTACAGATCAAAGATGCTGAAAAATACCCAGACATATTTCAAAAATATCCTCTCTTGAACACATGAGGGTAAAACTGTCAAAGACAATGAGGAAGAGACAATCCTAAAAATAGCAAGAGAAAAACATCAAGTCACGTATTAGGGAGTCCCCATCAGTAAAACAGAAGACTTCTCTGCGGCAACCGTACAGGCCAGAGGAGAATGGAAGGATATATTCGAATGACTAAAAGAACAAAAAAATGCCAAGGAAGAATACTATACCCAGTAACACTATCCATCAGAAGTGAAGGGGGAAGGGTGTACTGCAAACAAACAACTGCAGGAGTCTGTCACCACACAACCACCCCTACAAGAAATTCTGAAGGGAGTCCTGCATCTGGAAGCCAAAAAGTGATAATCATTGCTGGAGGAAAATGAAGAACACATGTTAAAAATGGAGGCACTCTTTCTCTCCAGGATTTAGACTGTGTCCACAGAAATGCAAATAGACTGGGTCAGCAAGAACTGGCAAGCCTTACCTGCAAACCAGACTTCCTATTGAGTAGCCTAGGAGATGGGGAGGGATGGGAGGGAATCACAGCTGGCTAAAACACATATAATACATGCCTGTAGATAATAAAGTTGCTTGTGCATGCACTAGATCCCAGAACTTTGTTTCTGGTTTCTGGTTGCCCACCTCTGTAGGCAGCAGCCCCTAGCTCAAGGCATGACCTGAGCAACTCACCTCGCTGCACTCTCTTGGCAGAGCGATGTATGGTCCTGCTCCCTGGGGGATTCCTGAGAAAGACTACATCCCCAGGACCAGGAGAAACATGCACACTATGGTGAATACACAGGAAAGAACAAAACCCACTGGTAGAACAAAAATTCAAATGAGAGAGATAAATGACATCTAAGTCAAACACTAAAAGGGGAAGAATGGAATATCAGATATATAAAACATCCAAAGGAATATTGATAAATTGCCAGGAGTAAAACAATATCTTTCAATAAAAACCTTAAATGTAAAAAGATTAAATTCCCTACAAAAAGGACACAGATTGACTGGATTGAAAAGCTAGACCCTAGTAAATGCTATCTACAAGGGATTCACCTTACCAGTAAAGACACGCAAAAACTAATAATGAAGGGATAGAGACAGATAGACCATGCAGATAGAAACCAAAAATGAGCAAGGGTAGTTATTCTTATATAGGGTAAAAAGGCATTAAAACAAAAACCATAAAAAGAGACAAAGAAGGTCATTATGTAGTGATAACAGGATCTATCAGGCAAGAAGACATAGTAATCATAAATATACACCCACCCAACACTGGATCACCAAGAATAGAAAACAAACACTACCAGACCTAAAGAAAGAGACCCCAAGATGATAATAGTTGGAAACCTGAACATACCATTTTCAAACTTGGAGAGATCATCTAGGCATAGAGAAACACAGGATTCATACTATACTTTTCTAAGACCAATTTGGACTTGGCAGACATCTACGGAATATTTCTTTGAACAACTACAAAATAAGCATTTTTCTCCTCAGCACATGGAATGTTCTTCAGGATAGATGACATGTTAGGTTCCAAATGAAGTCTCAATAAATTTTTAGTATATTTTTAGATCACAGTGGATTAAATTTACAAATTAACAAATAAATCTCTAGAAACCATACAAATACATGTAAACAAAACAATATGCTCCTGAACAACCTATGGGCACAAGAAGAAATTAAAGAGAAAATCAAAAAATGACATGAAACTTATGTACATAAAGACACATCATACCAAAAGATATGCAAAACACCCAAATAACTCCTGAGGGAAGTTTGCTGCAATAAATGCTTACATCAAAACAATAAAAAGATTTCAAATAAAAAACCTAACACTACTCCTGAAAGAACTAGAAAAAAAAGAACAATCCAATCCCAAACTTAGTAGAAGGAAAGAAATAATTAAGACTAGGGCAGAACTAAATGAAAGAGACCCCAAAGTGATACATGAGGTCAATGAAACAGAGAGTTGTTTTGAGAACAGGGAAACTAAATACACAAAGATTAGTTAAGCTACCTAAAATACACAAAGATTAGTTAAGCTACCTAAAAAAAGAAGAGATAAGACCCAAATAACAAAAATTAGAAATGAAAGAGGAGACATTACAACCCAAACCACAGAAATACAAAGAGTCACTAGAGACTATAACAAATGGTTGCACACCAAGAAATTTTAAAACGTGAAGGAAATGGATAAATTTCTGACCACAGACTGCCAAGGCTGAAACAATGAGAAATAGAAAACCTAAAAAGACCAATCACAACCAATGAAATTGAAGCAGTAATCAGCAGTCTCCCTACAAAGAAAAGTACAGGACCGGATAGATTTACTGCTGAATTCTACCAAAATTTTAAGAGAAATTGACACAATTCTCTTAAAACTATTCCAAAAAATTGAAACAGAGGCCACCTTCCAAACTCTTTCTTTTAGGCCAGCATCATCATGATACCAAAACCAGACAAAGATACAACAAAAATAGAAAAGAAAAGGCCAATATCTCTGATGAGCATAGAAGTAAAAATCCACAACCAAATATTATCAAACAGAATATAGAAACACACACAAAAAATTATACACCATGATCAAGTGGGCTTCATCCAGGGTGGCAGGGATGGTTCAACATATGCAAATCAATAAATGTGACACACCACATCAACAAAATAAAAATAAAAATCATACAGTTATCTCAATAAACAGAAAAAGCATTCAAAAAAATTCAACATCCCTTCATGATAAAAGGTTTCAGGTAATTAGGTTTTGAAGGAGAGTATCTCAACACAATAAAAGGCATATATGACGAACCTACCTCTAGTGTCATCCTGAATGGGAGAAAGCTGAAAGCTTTTTCTTCAAGAACAGGAGGAATAAGACAAAGATACCAATTCTCACCACTCCTATTTAA